AGAGTAGAGCCAGAGTTAGCAGTATAAACTCATGTTTATTTTAAAATATCTAGGCAGATACAGAAGTAAATCTAGACATTTGTGTATACATGGATTAGTATAGATACATGTTTCCCGGCTCTTTCCACTTAAGGGACTAGAAGCAATGACATCCCAGAAGCAACAAACACCCCTAAGCACCCAGATCTGATGGTTTCTAAATACCATTCACCAATAAAAAGAACAAGCGCTCCTTGGAAAATTGGCTGTCTCCAGGGCTGAGGGAAGACATTGTAAGCTGGGAGCATCTTCTAGTACCAGAAAGGAAGCAAATGCTAAACAAACAAACAAACAAACATGGAGGCATGCCATAGGACACAAAGAACATGAAAGAGCACCCAATAACCAAAGTTGGAATAATTTGAGCAACAAAATAAATAACTTAGTACTAGATTATAACCCAAGGAATGAAATAAATATCCAAACTGATGTAAGTAAATGATGTAAATAAATAGGGGAGAAAGGATAAATCTTCTTGGCAAAAGAATTTCAATTAATAAGAGCAGAAGGAATGAAGGAAATTATGACAGTAATTGCAGCAGGAAAGATCTACTGATAAACACTAGAATTAGTGGGTGAAACTTTAAGGAGAAACAGGATATCTGCATTACCTCAAAGTATCTCCCCTAAAGTATTTATTAATTACTGTGGTGCTTTTAACATATGCCCACAAATTCTTTGCTATTCCTCCCTCCAGGAGATGGAGCTTAAATCCCCTTCCCTTCAAAGTGGGCTACGCTTAGCAACTCTTTTCTAACAAATAGAGTACAGAAAGGAAAAAATTTTGACTTTACAGTAGAGGAATCTGGCAGACACAACCTAAACCAAATGATCAAGGTTAACATCACCAGAAATAACTCATGTTGATATTATGATATCATGCTGATATACTCTGACATGATGCAATGAGAAGGGTACTTCACCTCTGTGGTATGCTTTCCCAAAATCCCTAACGCCAGTCTAATCCTGAGAAACCATCAGACAAACCCAAATTAAGAGACATTCTACAAAATAGCTGACCAGTACCCTTCAAAAGTATCAAAGTCATGAAAGACGAAGACAGACTGAGAAACTGTCACAGATTGGAGGAGACTAAGGAGACATGATGACTAAATGCAATATAGTCTCCTAGATTGGATCCTGAAACCGAAGGGAGACAAAACTAGAAAAACTGGTGAAATTCAAATAAAGTCTACAGTTCAGTTAACATATTACACCTATGTCAATTTATTAGTGCTGATAAATGTACCATGATGATGTAAGATGTTAATTTTAGGAGAAGCTGGGTGAAAGGAACTCTCTCTATGCAGTATCTTTGAAACTCTTGGGTAAATCTACAATTACTTCAAAATTCAAAACAACAACAATAACGTAGAACAGTTTCTCAACCTCAGTACAACATATTGATTATTTTGAACCAGATAATTCTTTGTTGTGAGGGGCTGTTTTATGCATAGTAGGATGATCAGCAGCATTCCTGGTCTCTACCCACTAGATGCCAGGAACCCACTTCCCCAGTTGTTACAACCAAAAATGTCTCCAGAGATTGCCAAATGTCCCCTGGGGGTAAAAATTACCCCAGATTGAGACCACTGATGTAGAGTTATATCCAGTACCACATAAAGATATCCATAACACATTGTTAAGAGGAAAAAAAGGAGGATACAGAATAGCATGAAATGTATGAGTCAATTTATGTAAAAATATATACAGTCATGCTTCGCTTAACGACGGGGACACGTTCTGAGAAATACATCGTTAGGCAATTCTGTCATCGTGCGGACATCATGGAGTGTACTCACACAAACCTAGATTTTTTAGCCTACTACACAGTTAGGCTATATGGTACTAATCTTATGGGACCACCATCCTATATGCAGTCCATCCTTGACCAAAATGTCGTGATGTGGTGCATGATTGTAAACATGGATGAACCTTGAGGACATTATGCTAAGTGAAGTAAGCGAGTCACAAACAACAAATACTGTACGATTCCACTTATAGGAGGTACTTAAGAGTGGTCAAAATCATAGGTATAGAAAGTAGAATGGTGGTTGCCAAGGGCTGGGAGGACCGAGAAATGAGGAGTTACTGTTTAATGAATACAGCTTCAGTTTTACGAGATGAAAAGAGTTACAAGATGAAAAAATGGTGAAGGTGGTTACACAACATTACGAACATATTTAACACCACTGAACTATACATTTCTGAACTATACACTTAAAAATGCTTAGGATGGTAAATTTTATGTTATGTGTATTTTTACAATTTAAAAAAATTGGGAAAAAACACATATACACATGTGGATAAATACACAGACAAATATCTGGAAGCATGTGTACCAAAATGTTAAAATGTCATCTCTGGTTGCTAAGTCTATGGTGATATTTCCTTTGTACTTTTCTATGTTATCTGGACTTTTTTCAAAAAGCATGTCTCCCTTTTTCAAAACACAAAAGGCTTTGTTCTCCATCATTTTTTCTCACAATGCTTCCAATTCAATAACCAAAATCCTATTCTGTCTCCAAAATGTCAAAGTGGTTACCTCTTTTCCCCTGCCAGAGGCCAACTCAGAACCCTCTCACCGAGGCTAATGTAACAGAATCCTAGGCTGTTTACCCCTCTCTCACTCACTCTCCACCAGCCATCAGAGTTACCTCATGAAACAGATTTACTGTCACTTCCCTCGTTAAAACCCAAACCCTCATGGCATGCACTTCCAGGGCCTCCACCGTTTGGTCCCAGGGTCTGTATTTTCAGTTTCACCTCCTACTACCGTCCCTCAGGCATCCTCTATGCCAGATAGTTGCTAGTCCTTCCTGGAAAACATGCATGCACTTTTACTATTCCTTTACTTTGCTCATGCTCTTCTTTCGTCAGGAATACTCTTCTTCCTTCTCTGCCTGATAAAATGTATACAATGGTACAGAGGAAAAGAATGGGATGGAGACGAAGGGATAAACAAATAGGTAGAGAAAAAAACATCAAATAAAATAGAGATAAGGGTTCAAGAAAGTAATTTTTGGTAGGGGTGAAATAACAATAGTGCCTACCTCATAAGGTTGTGGTGAGGATATTAAATGAGATAATATATGTCAAACTTTTAGAACAGTGCCTGGCATATATATTATTGTTATTGTTATTATTTTCAGTATTACTATTTATTATTATTATTCATGGTACAATGGTAAGAGCGTGAACTCTGGCTGCCACAAACAATGAAGCAGGAGCAATGATGAGGCTCCAGCTCAGAATAAAGGCCCCAAAAGAGCAAAGAGGCAAACAGGATCCTGGTCTCATTCAAATTTATCTAAAGAATTCAACAAACTACACAAGAAACCAAAATCAATTTGGTTAAGCCATCCTCGAGTACATAGAGAGCACACAGGTGAATTCTTATACATCCCAAAAATCTTTTATCCCTCAAATATACACTCCTTTTTGAAGTGGAGCTGTTTCAATATCCTGCTCCAGGCACAAAGCATCAGGGCAGCACCTCGTCCTCACAAATCTGAATCTGCAAATCACACCTGTGCTTTCCTATGGTTTCCCATTTGGTCAGCAGTGACTTCTCTTTCCTTCTGTAACACAGGAGGTGACTCCAAAGTTCTTCCCATAGCTACAAAAAAAGTGAATGTGTGTGTATAACCCACCCAAGCTTAATACTGTAGTCAAAGGGAAACTAAATTCACTCACAATGGAGGTGACCCAAGGGACCTAGAAATTCATATATATATTTCTTAGATGACTCCAAAATTTGGAGATTTCCTTCTTAGCCTCCTGTCAGGCTCAATCCTTTTAAAAGATTGCCACTGCCAGTTGTGGCAAATAGCCTCTGCATAGCCCCCATCTGCCCTGGTTAACAGTTTTTGTGACTTTTATTTCATGTCCTAGTAAGCCACTGTGATCCACGAGCCCATCTCTTCCTTCATACCCCTCCCCTGTGCATCCCACATCTCCTCTGGGCACTATCAGACAGACAGTCCTTTGGTTAAAAAAAAAAAAAGGCTCCTAAATTATGTCCCAAAGCAGACAAAAAGAATGCAGAATTCCACATCTATTAAATGACACATAGGCTGCTTACTAGTCAGACTGCCAAAAATCATTTGCTTCTCCTCTTGTAGGTTTAGACAAACACAAAGGGAACTGTGCTCCTATGTATGACTACTGCTTCTCCACAGGCCTTGAAGACTAAGGCATCAGAGATACTTCCTCTCTATAAACCCAAATAGAACACTTTGTTTATTTTCTCTTGGCATATAGTTGGTAGTCTGTATTTCCAAGCAGTCATTGTACATCTTTTGGCAAGTGCCTTCAAGTTTCTCAGTACAATGTTTCATCCAGGCACTGAAGGCGATGCATTGTACCTTGAATACACATGCCAAGAAGACTCGGACTGAAAAGATGACCTTCAGTATCATCTTCCTGTGATATATCAGACACCACACGTGGGTTAGAAGGCCCAGATCCAGTTCCCAGGTGTGCAAGTGTCTTGCAGCATGATCTCTAGTCTGCTCTTTAATCTTTCTGTACCTCAGTTTTTCCATCCTGGAAAACAGGGATTGTATTACCTGTCCCTCCTTGAATTCAGACTCGTACTGGCTGACTGAGAATATTTATGTCTCTAAAATTTGTGCAACTGGGGTTTGGGAAACTCAGAAAATTAAGTTCAAACGTTGTTTCTCACTTTTGGCAGAGCTGCCATGCAGAAATCCACGGCAGCGCCCAGGAGGAGTCCCTCTGCAAGCAGTCCCTCAGAGGGGAGTTCTGACTTCCCACCAACAAGCCGCAGAAGAATGCGGAGCAAGACACCAGGCAAGACCTTCAGAAGCTACATGGCTACAGAAGCAAGTCATTATCTATCAGGCTCCATGACAATATTATCATTCCGGACATACTGCCCTTAACACTCTGTTGTGGTTTTACCTCAAAGAAGCTACCTCAATACTTATAGCACTTACCTATTCAATGTTTACAAAAACAAGCACTTGCCCTTGATGTGAACTGCCCAGGTAGGGGTTGCCTTGGGATGATCCTGCAGTTAAGGTAGGACAAGGGATGACAAAAGAAGTATGAGGTACAAGACAATTTAAGATTTAAGGCAGTTTTACAATTTTTTTTTCTTTAGGAAGATTAGCCCTGAGCTAACTGCTGCCAATCCTCCTCTTTTTCCTGAGGAAGACTGGCACTGAGCTAACATCTGTGCCCATCTTCCTCTACTTTGTATGTGGGATGCCTACCACAACATGGCGTACCAAGCAGTGCCATGTCCGCACCTGGGATCCGAACTGGCGAACCCCGGGCCGCCGAGAAGCCCAACGTGCACATTTAACTGCTGCACCACGAGGCTGGCCCCTTACAATCCTTTTTGAGTTACTAGTACACTTCTGAAATACAAAATTCTGGAAAGCATTCCAAAAGGGATCACTAAAATGCAAATATTGGTCTTTAAAAAGATCAACCCCAAAACCTGAAAAAACATTCTAATTATCACACTTTCCATTTGGTCACCCTTTGGTCCATGGCTGTTACAACAGGGAAGTTTACTGCTCTGTCTAGGCTCTCCACAAGGCCAAGCTTCCCCTTTGTTCCAATACACATTCTCTGCCTTTGGGATCATTAAATTATTGACATTAAATTATATCTCTCAGCAGCAGCAAGATGTATCCCCCTAAGCAGTGCATCATGTGGCCACCACTCAGCTCAACACTCCACTAGACAGACATCACCATGAATTCACACTAAGATTCACAACAGGAATCCTAAAATACACTTCATGTTCTGATCAAAACATAGCACACTCCTGTGAAGGATGAGTGGCATACAAGTCAAGAAACACTCTCAAATGACTGAATCCCACAGCTCCTGCCTCGTCTGAAAGGGATGATGGCTTTGTGTAGTGGATAAGGCACCGGGCATGGAAAGTAGAGACCTATGGCCAACTCCAGTTCTGCTACTTACTCTAAGACTTTGAGCCTATTTCCTTAACTGTGAAATGATAACACCCTCCTTACAAGGCTGTTGTGAGAATAAAAAAGCATATGTATGCATTTTATAAATACTGCTATACACATTTAAGTTATTATTATTCTGCCTGTGGATTTATTCGAGATTGAAAATGTTCTTTCAACGAGCTGGTGATCCCAACATTAAGAACGTCATTTTTTTCACACGCTTACCAAAAAAAATTTTTTTCTTCTTCTCCCCAAAGCCCCCCAGTACATAGTTGTATATTCTAGTTGTAGGTCCTTCTAGTTCTTCTATGTGGGACACCGCTTCAGCATGGCCTGATGAGCGGTGCTAGGTCGGCGCCCAGGATCCGAACCAGCAAAACCCTGGGGCGCTGAAGTGGAGCGCGTGAACTCAACCACTCAACCATGGGGCCGGCCCGCCCCAAAATTTTCTGAGTCAACCTCAAGTCACTGAAAAGCATCAGCTCCTTCCACTGGCTAAAAAACAAGCAGAGTAGCACTATCCTAACAGCAGCATGGTGAGCAAAGGTTAGAAAGGAAGAATTGTGCATACCCACAGTGAATGGGGCAGAGACACTTTATTTCAGTATTTAGACTGAAAAGTAAAACCAAAGGTCAAAGTTTTCGAATGGGGACCAAGAGGAAATGTTACAAATACTCCAAGTATAATCAAAATTAAATACAACCTATAGCCAGTTCAGAAAGCTCAATAATCCTGAAACTGTTTTTCATATGTTAATTAATCCTCACAGCATCCCAGGGATGAAAGAAATTTAATTCTTTGTATTCTAGTTACTTATAACCACAGAAAGAATCTAAATGGATCAAGAGGTGCCATTTTAATAAGGCAGGTCAACAAATATTCCATCAAATATTAGGGCTCTACCATATCATCAGCACTATATAAGGCGCAAAGTGTCCTACCGACATGGCCTATCTTACAGCCAGCAAGACCGCTAGCAACCGCAACCTTATGGTACAGAGCTATGAGCAAAGAAACATTTCTGAGAAACGGATAATGGCAATTACAGAGCTACACCCAATCCTCACTGCCAGAACCCACTAACTTATTTTAAAAAGATGTAGGGGCCAGCCTCGTGGCACAGCAGTTAAGTTCGCACGTTCTGCTTCGGCGGCCTGGGGTTCACCGGTTCAGATCCTGGGTGCAGACATGGCACCGCTTGGAAAACCATGCTGTGGCAGGCATCCCACATATAAAGTAGAGGAAGATGGGCACAGATGTTAGCTCAGGGCCAGCCTTCCTCAGCAAAAAGAGGAGGATTGGCAGCAGATGTTAGCTCAGGGCTAATCTTCCTCAAAAAAAAAAAAAAAGATGTAAAATTAAGATGATTTACTGAGAACACTTTCCTGACAAGGACTATGTTGGTATGTGGGGAAGAGGGGGCATCAGGGAGCAATGGTGTGTTATTCTAAATAGGATGGTCAGAGAAGGCCTCAAAAAGGTGACATCTGAGCCAAGACCTAAAGAAGAGGGGAAGTGAGCCACACGGTAATGTAGGGGAAGAGGCTCCACCAGGCAGAGGGAACAAGTACAAAAGCCCTACAGCGGGATCATACCTGCTGCGTTGTCCACACATCCACTAGGCTTTCCCCTGGCGTGTCCTGTTACCCCCCCCACTGTGCCCTGCTAGGTCTTCCTGACTCCCAGGCTCACCATACTCTCACAGGCACACAAACCCGAATCCTGAATCACACTGCGTGCATTATTCTCGTCTTTCTCCAATCAGTGACCAACTCATACTGTAACAAGACGCTACCTTCAAAATGCTACATGGTTCTCTTCCCCTCCATTCCTAATAACACATCAGCCCAGAATTACAGAAATTATAAAACATTAAGACTGGAATGGACCGTAGATATCATCAGTGTAATTCCATCTTACTAAGGCCAAATTACTCAAGTCTCTGAGGTGCCAGGCCAAAGAGCAATCATTACATCATACTTGGCTGTTTTTTTGTATGCCCCTCCCACCCCCAAATCCAATTCATCATGCCTACTGCTCACAAATGCTTCTTACACACTGCCTTCGCCATGTTACTCACCCCCCATTCCACAATACCTACGACATCTACTGAACAGTCTCCTTTCACAGTCCTACACGCACACTATGCCCATTCACCTTCTAAAGCTTCATCCATGTTCCTTCCTTTGATATAATACCTTTTCTTCTTTCTTCTCTGACCATCCTATTTAGAATAACACACCATTGCTCCCTGATGCCCCCTCTTCCCCACATACCAACATAGTCCTTGTCAGGAAAGTGTTCTCAGTAAATTCTTTTCACAGAATTTTCCAGGACTATACCAGCCTTCACTGATTTCTCCCTTCTCACAAATCCTATGGTTTATCATAAAATCTAACACCCGTAGTCTCTCTCCTCTCCACTTCGTCCACCTTGCAAAGCATCATTAATATCTCAGTCCCAACACTTACTAACTCTGCCTTGTTTCCTCTTTAGCAGGACTAAAACTCCTTGAGGACAGGGATTATGGTTTTGTCCCTTCAAAAGGGCCTTCCAGAAATAGCACCTACCATATTTTTAGCACTTACTATGTGCCATATGTTGTATTAAGTGCTTTACATACTTTATCTCATTCAATCATCACAATAATGTCGCGTTATTGACATTATTCTTCCTATTTTACAGAAGAAAAAACAATGGCACAAAGAGGTTAGGCTGAAGTCACATATCAGAAAAGACAGGGCCGGGATGTGAGCTAAAGGATCTCTCTCGAAGCTGGCACAAAGTAGACTGCAAACAAATATTTGTTGAATTATCCTAAACATTTCACATGTGTTGACAATCCTATCACCCCAACTGAACTAAGGGTAGAAACCATGCCTGGAGGCTTATGGGGGTGCAGTGGGGACAAGGACTGCCCCCTCTTGCTGAGTACCCATCAGGTACCAGGTTCAGCACAAGGCACTTCACGTCAAGCATCTCACCCACTCTGTGAAAACTCGTAACTGTAAATACTCGTCAACAAATAGCACCTCTAATTCCTCCATCAGAGATTGACCCCAAATGTCACCCACTCTCAATCCAAGCACAAATGCTTCCAGGTGCGACATGTACTACACTCTTCCGGGCCTCCCTCTGACTCAAGGAAGAGGACAAAGACTCCTCGACTCCCATCAGCCAGTAGGTTAAAAATCTCAGCTTCAACAAGCATTTACCAAGTGCCTTCTTCAGGACAGGTCACCCTGCTCTTCACTCTTAACACTCATGATCTCAATCATTAAGCACCACAGGTAGGTGGCATTTTCTCCACTTTACAGATATATAAAACGACATCCAAAAAACGACATTGTTAAGGTCACGTGGCCGATGGCAGATTCGGAACCAGAATCTAGGTCTCCTGACTATCCACCCTGTTCCATTCCCTCAGCAGACACTGATAGCTGGTAACTGATTTATCCTGGTGTCGCGGGGTCACTCTAAAGAGTAAAAGCTCTAGAATAATTTTCACTTAAAAGGTATTTATTGGACGCCTATATGTCAACCTTACAGATTCAAATACCATCTCTTCCACTTGTGCGCTATGTGACACGGAGAAAGTCATTTCACCTCCCCAGGCGAATTCCCTCATCCGTAAATGGAGATAATAACAGTACCTAACAAACAGTAATGTGCTGAGAAGTAAATGAGATGATAAAGTGAAACACCTGGCACTATGTCTGGCATTTGGTGGGCGCCTAGTAATTATAGACTCCTTTCACCCCCCACCCCCCCGCCCACCCCCCCGCCCCACAAGCCTCGGGGTTCACCCACTACCACCCTGCGACAGAGTATCCGCTCGGCCAGCCGCCCGCACGCGGTCTGGGGCTTCACAGGCCGGGGACGAGCTGCACTGCCATACCTGCATGGAGTCGGCGCTGACGATCTCGCCACCGAGGCGCTGGCCTAGCTGCAACGCCAGGGTAGATTTGCCAGTGCCTGTGGCCCCGAGAATCACTACAAGAGGCAGTGTCCCTTGCAGGCCTCGGAGCCCAGGGCCCACAGACACTGCTCGTGCAGCCGCCGCCGCCGCCATGTTGGGAGCATCTGCGCTTGCGCAGGAGCAGCTGTCTCCATAGCAACCGTCAGTGCGCCTGCGCGGATCTCGGACTCGGTAGGAAGAGGCGAGGAGGAGGCGGTGGGAGTAAGTCCCCATGCTTGAAAGCCTCCCAATATGACTGCAGTGAACTTGCTGGTGTCAGAACCTCAACCACCCCCTCTCTTAAGTGGGAGATGGCAGTCCTACCTAAAATAGATCTGTTCCTATTATTCTTCCTTTCACGGCACCCAGTTCTTTTTCTTCATAGCACTAATTACAGTATAAAATTATATATTGCCATCTTGTCTATTGTCTGACTTTCATTCCCGGCTGTCAGTTCCATAAAGACAAGGGACAAATTCTGCCTAGGTCATTGCTGTATCTCTAGTGCCTGGCACAGTACCTGGTACCGAACAGACACTCAAACGTTGTTAAATGAAGAGGAGAATGTCTTGCCTGTCGTCCTCGAGCCAGAGAGCTCAGAGGTGTGGCGTTCTCCTGGATCAGATTTGCACAGTTCTCAGGCAGGGGTGGCTGCTCTAATGTTTTCATTCCACAATTCAAACTCAGACACATTGAGGAGGCAGGACGAATTTCCCATCTCTATGGCCGAAGGTTGCAAGGGATGGGATGAGAACAGACAAAAACAAGCAAGTAAACACCCCACAAAATACAAAGAGGAAAAACGAGGAAGGCGGAGAGGATAAAATAGTAGCAACCCTCAGAGCAAAGTAGAGGTGGGGAAAATTAGGACAAGAGAGAATCAAAATTCAGGAGACTTACAACCATTAAGGACAAGCTCTGAGAACCAGCATGGTGGCCCAGTGGTTAAGTTCCACCCACACGCTTTGGCTGCCTAGGTTCAGTTCCCAGGGCACAGACCTACACCACTCACCTGTCAGTGACCATGCTGTGGTGGTAGTCACGTACAAAAAGAGGAAGATTGGCAGCAGGTGTTATCTCAGGGCAAATCTTCCTCAGCAAAAAAAAAGAATAGGCTTTAGAATCAGATGGACCTGGATCCAAATCCCAGCCTGGCCACTTATCAGCTGCGTGACCTTACACAATTAGCCTCAGTTTTCTTTTTCTTTTTTGAGGAAGATTAGCCCTGAGCTAACGTCTGCTGCCAATCCTCCTCTTTTCGCTGAGGAAGACTGAGCCTGAACCCACATCCGTGCCCATCTTCCTCTACTTTATATGTGGGACGCCTACCACAGCATGGCTTGCCAAGCGGCACCATGTGCGCACACAGGATCCGAACCGGCAAACCCGGGTCCGCCAAAGCGCAACGTGCGCATTTACCCGCTGCACCACCAGGCCAGCCCCTAGCCTCAGTTTTCTTATCATTAACTACCTCTCAGGATTGCCATAAGGAGAAAATGAAGTAATGTCTGAAACGTGCCTGCTACAATGCCCTGGCACATAACAACCACCATTTGTGGAACACTTTGTATTATTATAACAGTAACACCCCATCTGCCTCTCTAAAGAGGTAAGCGCAGCAGCCTAAGGGCAGAGAAATTTTCAGCAATGTGTAAACGTGCCCAATACCTATTCTACTAACCCTTTGTTAGCCGATTTAAGAGTTCTAGTTGCTTTCTCCCTGACATTGCTTGGCTCTGCCTAGCTCTCAGGTCCTATCACTAGGATCCCTTGGGCCAGAGGAATCACCCCTGGAAGTTTAGAGCATATGATAGGCCTGCCTGGAATAATTGCCAATACATTTCTCAGTCACTTAGATCGTTGTTGGCATAATGGCCACTCTTGCAGACCCAGCTTAAACCTTGTAGCCATATGTATTGTTTGGAGAACACCACACCCCAGGGTCCCCTGTACCTCCTTTTCTCAATCCAGCCTGCTTTGATCAAAAGCCTTGTTCTCTCCAATTTGTGGTACCCGCCTGGGGCTGGTTTTAAAATCAAGATGTGTGGCCACATATTGGCAGACACTCTCGCATGATGGTTGTTAACTGTAGAGCCTTTGCCTGGAGACTTTCAGAGGGTACAGTTTCCATGACAACCACCAGAAAGATGGCAGGCCAGAGAAGTGATGCAAATAAAGCAAAAGGAAGGCCAATTTCATGATGACAATCTGACCATGACAGAGTGTGCTCACTCACAGATGGGAAAGCACTGTCCAAGTCATGACCAGGTGACTGTTACTTGAGAGAGAAAAAAAGAGGGGGGTGGAATTTACCACTGAGAGACCAGAAGAGGGAGAGGCTGGTTACCAAGGCAACTGGGGAGAAAGGAATGAAAAAATAGGACTTCACCACAGCAGCAGAAAATTGCTTCTAGCCAAGCAACACAGGACTGTTGCTATAGAAACAAAGAGAACAGGGATCCTGTAGACCATAGGGAGAATTATCACTGAAATGCTGAGCAGGAAAGACTCCTAAATCAGAATGGAGCCCATGGTCCAAAGCAAATAAGGAGAAGGGAGAAAAACATGGTACCATTACCATTCATTGTCATTCTACCAGTCCCTCCAAAAAAGAATGGGAACATTTTTTTTAAATATCTCCAGGCTATTGTATTTGTACCTCTGTTTGTCTCCTTAAGGATCTTCTGAACTCTAAATCATACTAACAATAGTTCCTAAAGGATGATCTGTAACTTGAAATCCTAATTGGAGAGATTAAGTTCAAGGGAAAATGGGGAAATTGAAGTCTATGATCAAGAGTTAATAAGCATTTCTAAAAAACAACATAAAACCCTCTAATAGGAAGCTTTGCAGGGTAATAAGGAGACAAGGTGCAAAAGGGAGTCAGGAAGTCTATTTGTAGTCATGCCCAGGTATTAGCCCTGACGCCCACTCCACCTTCTGCAAGGCCAGATAGGAAGTAGCTCAATGCCTTCTGAAAAACAGCTCAGGAGGAGAGGGAGTGTCTTACTTAAAGTGTATGTGTATGTCTAGAGATGCAGGATACAGAAGCCCATCTCCAACATACTTCACTGCTTACAGATTATTTTGGGTAAAGAAAATTCTAGTTCAAAAGGCAAAGATGCCAGAATAGGTTCAGTCTGGAAGAGCATATTTAAAACGCAAGAATGAGGTACTAGGGATACTCAAATAACTTGGAGGGTAATAACTCTTGCCTGCCCTTCTGAAAGTCCACAGTCAGCCACCTAATTGTTACCCCCAGTGTATGTGTGCTGTACCCTAGGGGCAGATGTAGAGTCAGGCTGGCCAACCTCTGCACCTACATCACCTTCTCAAGGAAATTGAAAGCAGTACATGGGGTAGGTTGGGCATGGGAACATGGCAGAAAAGGAGAAAGGAAGAAGTGCAGAAAGGTAGAGGGGAAATCTGGGTGATGACCCATTAGTGTTTATTATAGTATTTCCTGTCCTCTGCATACTTTAAATAATTTATTTAAAAAATTTATAGAAAAAGAAACATAGGAAGAAGGCTAAAGGTGAGGCCATTAGTGTGGAGGGGTCATTCAAAGTGGAGCATCCAGGAAGTCTGAATATTCAAGATGGAATTCTAGAGGATGCTGTGACATTCAGGACAGAAGGAGGAACATGCCTGGGAGAGCTGAGGCACGTTTCCCAGGTAAGAGAAGAAAGTTGGATGAAGATAAACACTACCTTTTTGGTACAACCCAAGGCACCTTTGCAGCCTGACCCCCATATTAATTAGGTACCCAAATAAAAAATATTTCCTGCGTGAGTATTTCATGGTGAACCCGGTGCCTGTATTAGCTTTCTAGGGCTGCCGTAACAAATTACTACAAACTAGGTGGCTTTAAATAACAGAAATTTATTCTCTCACAATTCTGGAGGCCAGAAACCCCAACTCAAGGTGTCAGCAAGGCCATGCTCCCATGCTTCCTTCTGGAGAAGCATTCTCCCTTGCCTCTTCTAGCTTCTGGTTATTGCTGGCAATCCCTGACATTCCTTGGTTTGCGGCAGCATAACTCCAATCCTGCCTCTGTCTTCACATGTCCATCTTCTGTATGTGTGTGTCTCTGTCCTTAGGACACTAGTCATTGGATTAGGGCCCACCTCAATCCAGTGTAACCTCATCTTGATTTGATTACATCTGCAAAGACTCTATTTCCAAATAATGTCACACTCACAGGTTCTGGACGGACGTGAATTTGGTGGGGGACAATATACAACTCAGTACAGTGCCGATGAGTGATTACAGCACCTTCCATTGATCTGATGAACTGCCGTTTCCATTGGCGATTGGCCAGTTCAAATCTGGGAACATCAGAATTGCTCAAAACAAAGGAGGGGAAGAAGAACGTAGAACTCACCATGTTATAGGCTTTACGTTACACTTAGAGTTGAGTTGTAGGGTTTGCTCCAGAGCACACTAGAATGTTCTCGAAGGGAGCTCACTTTCATCCTTCTCAGCTCTCTAAGAGAACCTGCACACCTACATGGGACCCTTGAAGGCTGCAAAATCAAAGTGGGGGAGATGCAAAAGGGGAAAAGATGCAGAGCCATCAGGGGTCCTTTCCAGTTCTAAACTCATGGCTCTTTCAAGCCCTCTCCTCTACTGCTCTGGCCCCCTCTCTTTCTCATGGCTTGGCACTTGGGGCCTTCATCATCATGAGTCTCAAACCTGTATCTTCATTTCAAAGCCCTTTCTAAAGCTTCAGTGTCACGTTTCCAGCTTCCTGTTGGGTGCTCTATTTTGGACGACCCCATCACCTCAGTTTCATTGTGTCCCAAACCACAATCAGTTTCCAGCCCTGGCTTCCCTATTTCAAAGAATCACAGAGGATGTTTGCTGTTGAAAGGATACCCTTAGAGACCTTGTGTAACTCCTCTTGTTTTGTAAAAATGAGGCCGCCCAGCCAGCAAATCAGACCAGATTCCTCTCTTTTCCCCAGATTCCACACAACCTTCCCAATCCCTCTTCCCCAAAGCTATTCCCTTAGCCTGGAACACCTATTTCTTCTTCACTTAGCCAAAGCACTGGTACTTCCAGTTCCAGTTCAAGTCACAATATCTCCAACAAGAACTTTCTTGATGACTCCAAAGAAAGGGTTCTCTTCCCTTTCTGAGGCTTGTAGTCTTTGTCAGAGACACATATTGCCTTATTTTGTGATCCTGTATGCACGCTAGGGAACCATAGCGTCATATATCATTGTTCTCACTATGTGGCAGGCACTTCCTTTCATTACTATCTAAGCAGTTTACACATAATAACTTGTTTAATCTTCACAACAGTCCTATGAGGTAGGTATTAATATTATATCCATTTTCTTTTCTTTTTTTTTAAAGATTTTATTTTTTCCTTTTTCTCCCCAAAGCCCCCCAGTACATAGTTGTATATTCTTCGTTGTGGGTTCTTCTAGTTGTGGTATGTGGGACGCTGCCTCAGAGTGGTTTGATGAGCAGTGCCATGTCCGCACCCAGGATTCGAACCAACGAAACAGTGGGCCGCTTGCAGCCGAGCGCGCGAACTTAACCACTTGGCCACGGGGCCAGCCCCCCTTTTTTTTTTTTTTGACAGTAAGTAGGATTTATTGATGGGCATGAGTAAGAAGAGGGCAGTGCTGAGGCTCTCATGAGTGCAGGGCTCGCCATTTGTCCAGGGGGCCATGATTAGGGATGTATTTAACTCCACAGCCATCTGGGAGGAGCCGCCTTTCAGCCACCCTGTCTTCAAATTCATCTGCATTAAACTTAGTAAAGGCCCACTTCTTCAAGATGTGGATCTTGTGGTGGCCAGGGAACTTGAACTTGGCCCTGCATAGGGCTTCAATCACATGCTCCTTGTTCTGCAGCTTGGTGCGGATGGACATGATGACTTGGCCAACGTGGACCCTAGCCACTGTGCCTTGAGGCTTTCCAAAGGCACCCCGCGTACTGGTTTGGAGCCTAGGTTGGGGATAGCATCCGACATGAAATGTCCACTGGAAAGGGCTGTCTCCAAGGTCCCTTAGGGAAACCCATACAAGCAACAGGCTGCATACACTGCCAGGGAGGCTGCTGTTTGCAGCCACTGCACACCAGACCCCCATGGGGAAAAGGACACGGTCAGCTTAATTGGCTGCAGATATATCTATTTTCGAGAAGGAAACTTCTAGACTCAGGGAGGTTGAGTGATTTGCCCAACATCACACAGAGAATAACCTCAAGTTCCTCTTCTTAACCACTATACTATGCCATCTACCACCTTCTGAGAATATTTTTGTATCTCTGCAGGACCTGGCTCCAACCCTTTATTCTAATGTTTTTCTAAGTGTCACCTCAGGATTCACCTTCCTCCTTGCTTGTCAGCAATGTAGTTTCCTAGCCCTGGACTACTGCGTCAGGGTCTTGGGGGTGGGTAGATTTGAAGACACATTCAGGTTTGAGAATCACTGCCTGAACAAAATAGTCATTCAAGTGTTTAATGACTGAATGGGGTCACCTGACTCCAGCTGTTTGAAGGCACCACAGCGCCCAGTAAGGACAAATGGAGGGCCCATAGGTGCAAAGCAACACAGACTCAGAGCTCCTGCCTGCCATGGGTCATGGGATGCTGTGGACCAGTTGGAGGCTCAGGTCTTTGCTCTCCTTTCCTCCTCTGCCTATCTCAGTCTCCCAAAACCCTGGCTACTCCTCGCCTGATGATTGACTGCCTCGTGAGGCATCAATTTGTGCACTCCAGATTACTTTAAGCACTCCTTCTGGGAAGATTTCTTATTTTACCAATCCCTTCTACCACCTTTTGAATAAGACTAACCTGTATTCTAGGTGTGGCTTGTTAAATGGTTTAAATAATCATTTACTGAGCACTTACATGCTGCTCACAATAACCCAGTGAAGCAGGTGCTATTATTTATACCTGTTTTGCAGATGAGGAAACTGGGGCCGGGAGGTTAATAATTTGCCCAAAGTTATACAGCTGGAAAAGGCAGAGCCAGATTTGAAACTGAGATCTACTTGGTGTGGGAGACCAATTAGCCACACTGCTCCTCTCAAGTTTACAGGTGATCCAGCACTTCGTGGGCTCCTACTGGACCCCTGGCACTGAGTCTAATTGTTTAACAACTCACCTGATTAGAGACTTTAAGAACATATTTACATTTCCTTGCCAGAGGAATAGTAACATTAATACAGTCGATCCCTTTGGCAGCAGTTCTAAATAAAGACATTAACAAGAGCTGCCCACTGGGCTTAAAGTAGAAATGCCCACACCCCCCACACCCCAACGGAACTTGAGCCGACACATTTTGACACCTCCCCTTTACTCCTCCCCAGGCACCCAGTCATCAATCATCTCCCAACTAGTTATCTTATATCCTTAGAAAGGAACCTCTCTCTCTCTCTCCTATCACCTTCCAGATCAGCAAAGGCATCCCCATGCCCCCCTTCTCCTTCTAAAGTAAGTATTCTGGAATCTCCTGACCCCAGGGGCACTTTAGACAAATTCAGCACATCTAAAATAGTTCAACCTGTCTCAGTCCCCCAAAATAGGTGCCCATAGGGGCAGGAGTTAGGTACATGCTTTAGCCTTTTATTGTCTAACAGAGAAGATGACCTTTCTTTTCTACACCAAATGTGGCTTCTCAGCTGCCCCTTATTGTCTATGCCCCCATCCCCAAGTTGGGCACATACTCCCTTAGGTGTACCATGCAGAAGTAAGCCTAATTTCTCCAAAGTCCAGGAATAAACTCTTGGCTATTTTCAGACAAAGATAGAGGTAGGAGTCAGTAGAAATAAGCTAGGAAGGAGCTTAAAATGCTTCACATTCCACAAACACCCTCTCTTCCCCCTCAGGAGATGGCTTTATTCCCACTCCTTTCTCAGAGCAGTGTCGGACTCAAAGGAGCTGAAGCTTGGAGCCAGGCAGCTGGTACTAGCCGTGTGGGTTTAGACAAGTGACTTAAATGTCTCTGAGCTTCAGTTTGCTCATCTGTGGAACGGGGCTGACACTACCCTGTTCTCCAGGTTATTGTGAGAATGAAGATATGTAACACAACTAGCATTCGTGCCTGCACCTAGGGGTCCATACTATTTTATCGAGGGCCTGTGAATTCTTTCAAGGAGAGAAGTCCTACAAATTAGTCTCTTGACAAGTGGCTTCAAAAAAGAAGGAAGAATACTGTATACTGGGGACAGAATGACTGGAACTAAAAGACGGAAATGGAGTTTTAAGAAAAGAATCTCAGTAATCCAAGTCTGTTTTTATCAGCTACTTATGAACTGGGCTTGGTGAGATAGGAGCAGTGGGGGCCGAGTGGAAAGTTTACCTGACAGGAGACTGGGTTTGGAATACTGATTTTATTATGCAACCTTGAGCAAGAAACTTCTCTGGGCTCCAGTACCATATGGCAGATTTTGCTTACTTACCAGGTTGTGATGAGGGTCACTTTATAAATATGAGGAATTTATAGTCGCCTTTGGACTCATCTCAAGCTCCATAGCAGTGCAGGCAGGCAACACTGACCCAGGTCTCAGCTCTAAGGCAGGATTAGCTGAGGCCAAGTGGCCTTCTCCCACCACGATGCTCCTGGCCTTTCTGAACAGCAACCATTTTCCTTTCACAGTCCCAGAAAGGGCCTCTTTGGGGCAAGACTAACCCACCCAGCCCACAAATGCAGGAGAGTAGCTGGTCATGGAACATTCGCTCCTCTTCCTCCCAGTAAGTGGTAGGGGCAGTGGCTCCAAGGAGAGATGGTTCCAGCAAGCAGTTAGGTGATGGAGTTCCATGTTGTCCTCCTCCACATACCCCATGCTAACAAAACCAGCTGATCATTACTATAAAGTGGATAAGACCTCTGGCAAAGCTGGTTTCAAATCCCAACTTATTTACTTACTAGCCATGTGACTTCGGGCAGTTTTGTTTCCCTCTTAGAACCTCAGTTTCCTCTTCTGCAGCCCCAGCCCATGTTTGGTGTGGCGTTATATGCAGCAGTGAGCAAAGTACTTAGACATAGGCAGTGCTCCATCAGGAACAGCTATCATTAAATTCTCCCCTTTTGCATCTACGGCAAGTTTATGAGAACTATGGGAGAGAAAAGGAAACTTGATTTTCTCCGCTTAATTGAGGAAGAAAAAAAATCACATTACATCACAAATTCTCTGAGGATTTTTAAAAAGACATCCTGCAAAGAGTCATCATACCTCTACAGTAAGCACAGTATCACCCTGGAGAATATAAGGCTTTATAGTTTAGAAAGCAGTTTAAAGTCTATTACTTCATTTAATACCTGCCAAACCCCTGTGAAGTAGCATTTATCCCCATTTTACAGATAAGGACACCAGGGCTCAGAAAGGTAAAGCGAAAAGGCACAGAATAAGTAAGTGGTGGAACCGGGATTTCCAGCTTCTAAAGTACAAATTCAGCACTCTTTGCAATTCACAAGAGAATTTTGTGTTCACCAAGTACTGAGCCTACATTGTTCAGACATGTCTGAAATGGCATTCCAGGAACCCAAAGTGGAATGACCAGGTTAGCAACATGGTTAGAGAAATGCAACCCTCTGGATCACTTGCGGCTACTCCGAAATAGTTTTCCTTGGTTCAAGGGGGTTCGGTTGGCATAAGCTGCCCCCACTCTGACATATTTGAGAAATCTTTTATTAGAAGATGTCCCAGAAGGCAACATTTTAAAATCAGGCAATCGATAATCACAATGAAATACAAAATTTCAGGTAAACTTGCCTTTCAAAATAAATCAGACTCTTGCAACAGGAGACTTGCCCAAGAGTTTTTTTCTCGTACAAAAACAACACCACTTTGCAAAAGGCATACAAAAATACAGTATTAAAAAGAAAAAAGACTGCTCCCAGCATAATACCCAACAGCAGCTTATAAAACACAAGCTATTCAGGTGAGACACCAGTAACCGTCATCCACCTTATTTTCCAAAGACAGTTCCAGAAGTCATTTGGCTCCTGAAAACCATGCTGCAGAAGGTAGAACAACTTTTCCCAAACTTCACTGGAGTTCTCTGAGGCCAGGAAGCAACCTCAGAAACAGACTATCGTGCATAATAGGTTTGGAAGTAGCAGCTGGCTTTCCAGAGCCACGAATACTGCTCAACCATCCTCCCCTCCCCGCCTTTCAAACCCACAGCCAGCAGGCACCTGCTGCCCTGGACAGAGTTCTGAAGGGGCCAGTTCTTCTTCCAGGCCAGGCTTAGGTTGCCCTGAGGTTGCTCACATGACACCTGTTGGGTTGGGTGCCTTTCCAAGACTGGAGGCTGCACCTGGAATCCACTTGGAGGTGCTGAGTCCAGCTGGGGCAAAATCCAACATGGTCTGCTGAGCAGAGCTACCGAAAGCTTGTCTAAAACCCACCAGAAAGCTAGTCCACCTTCCGGAGCACTAGGTGAGTCCCAGCAGCTCTCTCAGTAAGAACTTCAGTAAGGCCCAGATTCTGGAAAGGGATCTGACTCATGTCAGGCTGGCAGGGGGCCCAAAGGTGGCTGCAGAGCCAGCAAGCTCCTTGGAGTTGCATGAGGACAGGTTTGCACAGTTCTGGTAGAACTTCAACCTTATCAGTCAGGGACTGAGATGAGGTGGGAAAGAGGAAGTGGTACAGGTCTCCCTCCCCAGGTGCCTGACATCAGCCTTGAGAAAAGATTCCGGGATGGAAAACACCTGGCAGGGGACAAGTTCACAGCCAGGACTCCGAGGCTTCCTCAGGCTGCAGGCTAGGACCCATTTCCATGTGTTTTGGGGAAATATTTCTGACCTGTGGGAAAGAGGTGCTGTAGGGCCCATTGTATAACAAAGGCAGAAGGGAACAAAAAAGCCCCTTGTGAGGACAGAATGGTCTCTCCTTTAGAGGAAAGGGCCCAGAGGGCTTTGAGACAAAATCGAGAGGCCAAGCTCTTTAAATGTTCTCAAGGTCGCAGCATTGTGAGTGGGAGGAGGGGTGTCATCTAACATCATAAGATATATATTAAAGGTTTCCAACTCAGCTACTGTAAAGTGTCTGACAGTGAGGTAATGGTCCATGTTGATCGAGTCTGTGAGCTTGTCTTCACCCGAGACAGCTCATGTGTCTCCTGGAAAAAGGAGCCTCAGGGAGAGCGTCCAGGCCCAGATGTCCTAGCATCACCCCAGAGACACCAGCGGGAGCATCCTTTCCCAGCCTAGAGCTCATCCAGAGTGTGAGATTTCATGCAGGCTGGAGCCCCCCGACAATGTTCACCACCTGTTGCATAGCATCTGTCAGGCTTTTCTTCGGAGCTAGTGAGCTAGGCAGACCCCAAGGCTCCTCAGTCAGCTGACTGCCTGGGAAGCAAAGGCGCCAGAGAAGACACAGTGCTCCCATGAGCCAGGGAAGAGGGAGAGCCGGGTTTCAAGGTTTCCAAGAATGCAAGCCTTTATTGTGTGTGCACCGGCTGCAATGCATTCTGGGATCTACTGTCCAGACTGTCCCACCGTAACCAAAATGTGCAAATTACTAAAGGGGAGAGGGAAGGTTAAAAAATAAACTCGAGTCTTTATAAGACAGAGCAGTCAGGCTTTTTGGTCAGTTAGTAGCCACTGAGGTATGCAATTCTTTTCTGCAGTTGCTGCTGACGGCACCGGAGCTGCCTTTTCTCTGTAGCCATCCTCTTCTCCGCTCCCACCAGGGCTTGCAAGTATTCCAAGGCCTTACTCAAGATCACTACTTTGGGGGCCTTGGAGCAGCTGGCCAGGGTGGGTACCTGGTCCCTCAGGGCCAAGAACCTCGAACGGAGGTCATTCCGCCTTTTGCGCTCCAGGAAGTTGTGGTTCTTCCTCTTGGTCACATCCTCGGTGTCAGAACTGACAGGTTTGGGGTGGCAGGACTGGGGAGCCTCGCTTTCTACAGGTGGGGGGCTCACAATCTCTTCATCTGCCTCATCTTCCTTTTCCTCTGGAGCATCTCTCTCCAGAGCCTCTTCTTGGGGACCGCTCTCTGAAGCCCCTCCTTGGGAGCAGCTTTCTGGAGGAAAACGGGCAGCATAGTTGTGCTGTTGCTGATGGATGGAGATGTGGAAGTGTTTCATGCAGGGGTCCAAAGGGTCTGCTCGTACCGTGATAGTGACTGGCTTCCGTACGCCCAGGGACTGTCTCTTGTCCACTGTTACAACGTCTATTTCTTCACCCTCTGTCCAAGAGAGATCAAGAGAAGAAACATACTCCATGAGAAACACACAGACCATATGCTGGGTCTTGGGAAAGGAGGTGACATCTTCCCAATTCAGATATAAACAAACTGAAGGGAGGAGAAAGACAGCTGATTCATTTGTAATGGGGTAAGGACAGTGTGAAGGAAAGGAAGGGAAATAAGCAAGAAGGACAATATTCTCCAATTTCCTTTCGCACAGCAAGGCTTAGATAAGAACAAAAGGCAGACCCAAGCCAACAGCCCCCAGTCTGCACACTCTCCCCTCCCCCACGGAGAGGATGGAGAGAAAGAGCTATCGGCCTGGGACAAAGTTTAGCTATAAAGATCTTCCCCAGTCGGGCTCTTTCATGCCCAATCAGAATTGTAAATGAGGGGTCTGTGGGCAGAGCTGCCCTTTGTTCGTGCCCAGCACAGCCTGCACTTGGGGAATTGTTACTTTTCACAAGTTATAAATCCTATTATTCCCTCACCTCTCTATTCTGCCATCCCTTTCAGCAGAAGATTCAGGGAAGGGAGGGCTACAACCCATCCCTCCTCACCCACAGAGGAAGACGGAATGGGTTTCCCTTAGGAGCATTTTGCTCCTGGGTTCAATGGGTTTCTAAAGTCATCCATCATTTATAGTTCACCTGCCCCACCCCCTTCCCCAGACCAGAAGAGGGTTGGATTTGTAAATTGCAGGTTGGCAAAAGCTGCAGGAACTTCACAAAGGTACAAGCGATCCTTTCCAAGCTACCTGTGCAGAGGCAGGAACTGAGCAGCAGGAAAATGTCCCGAGACGAGGGCCGAAACACCAGGGACCTGGAGACACCTGGACATGCCCCCATCATTACCTGACTCAAAGGTCTCTTAGGTTGCCCCAACCAGGAGAGGAGCAATCAGGGGAAAACCTTCCTGCTCCACATGTTTTGCAGAGCCCACACAGAAGGCCACCTTAATGCATTTCAGCGTGACAACAGAAGAGCTCAGTTCTCAGCCTCCTTTGCATATCAGGATGCTTGAGCCCCTTTGTCAGGAAGGCTTCCATTGTGTGGACAATCGCATTATTTCTCCATTAATAAAACCTGACCATTCAGCCCTCCTGGCCCCAAGGCCTGTGATTGGCTGGCTAAGCTTTGTTTGGAATGCTGTTTTACCCAGCCCCTAGCCCCTATTGGCTGAGCTTTGCCATCAGTCACTCTCCCCACCCCTCCTCATTGTTTGCAATCTGTTGCATTTTGTTCTGGGCCATGTGGCCTGTGAGTGAACCAGGAGCTTGCTAACAGGTTCAGGTTAAAGGGCAGGTCAGAAAATGATTTAGGAGGCTTCCCCACATCCCAAAGCTTTAATATTTCAGTGTTAAACCTCATGACTGGGGAAGGGTTTGCTTAAGGAAGAAATAATGTAAGGCACCATTCTCCTTTTAAGAGAGTTGTGTCTAACTCTACCCAGACAAGAAAATGTCCTCAGCTGGACAACCAAGTCCAACCCTCTCATGTGCAAAGTGAGAAACTGAGACCCAGATCAGCCAAGTCCACAATCACCTTTGTAACATTCTGGATCTTAAACTAAGATCTCCAGACTTTCAAAACAATGCTCTTTCCACTCTACCATTCCAACGGCCTTTGTAGAGATACCTCTTTATTGGTTTCTTGAGCTCAAAAATTCCCATTCTAGCCATTAAGCAAACACAAGCTCTTGGTGGGGAAAGCAAGCAGGTTAAAAATGACTTTAACACAGTGGACCAAAAATAGTGACTTTTAATTTTTTCTTGTTATCCTTATTTTTCCCCTCAAGTGTACGATAACTTCCATACCCCATTCTCCAGTTCCCTTGAAATGGTCATGTAAAAGTTATTCCTGAAAGCTACAGTGAGTTTCCTCTGTCCTGATCCACCTGATGCTAGCTTCAATCTGCATCCCACAAAAGCACCCTCTCCAGTATTTCTCAGGGGTACGTACGGAGGTCCAAGAAGAGGTTAGGCTAAGAACAACACAGTCTGGTGGCACAGGATGTTGAAGTCTGCCCTCAGTGAGGTTTATACTTGCATTCAAGGATCTTGGAGGGGAGCCTGGAGTTCCATATTTATGACTCCAGAACCTAGTCCAGAGCTTGGCACAAAGAAGGCACTAGTGAACATTTGTTGAATACAAGGAAGCAGCTGAAGCCCTCAGATGAAGTGGCAGGGAGCTAGAGGGACACCTTTCCACCTCAGGCCAAAGGTAAGCTACCTTGAAGACCCTCTCAACATCAGTGAAGAAGTGCCTGGGTGGGATGGAGGATTGGGCAAAAGAGGCTGGCTAGATGACAGGAAGCTGGAGTTCATTTCTAGTGATTTCCCATTTCTAAGCCTCAGTTTTTCCATCTGTTACTGGGGAGTTTTTCCATCGGTTAATGGAGAGCATTCATTTCTCGACTACGTGTCTCATGGGTGATGGTGTGGCTCCAGACCTAAAGGGGTGGGAGGTGCAAGGGGAGAGCATTATTGGCATTTTAAAATAAAGCAGTCAGGAGACTAGGTTTTTAAAAGGATGAAGGCTTTGGTGCTGCACAAAAGGCTGCTTGGCTTCTTCTCTCCCTGGGGAAGTGTGGGTTTCCCAGGGAAGGAGGGAGCAACAAAAAACTTCAAGCCTGGAGTGACCCTTCAGGGACCTCTTCCAGCCTCCGGAGGACAGAAATCCCCTCCAGTCCAATCCCAGTATTGTCCTCCCTAAGCGCCGGGCCTCACCCTGTCTCCCTTCTCCTCTGGGGCTCCAATCATCATCAAAGGGACGCTGGCTCCCACGCCACTTCTTCAAACTGTTTACTAACACACCCACGTGCCAGACAGACACCGCTGGGGGCTACACCGGCAGCTTCAGCTGGAGAAAGGGGGAGGTGGCCAAAGGGCTTGCGAAGACCCATTGCCTGACCTCAGACAGCGGCAGAGCTTTGGACACCCATGGTGTGCCCCCTTCTTGGATGGCCCGGAGCGGTCCTTACCCGAGTCACTTGGGCTCTCGGACCCCGAACAGGCCTGGGTCTTGGGCTCGCCCAGCACACAGGGGGCAGCGGGCGCCGGGTTGCCGGTTTCGAGGCTGGGAGCGCAGTCCGGGGCGGCGGGCGTCTTGGGCGGGTTCCCCCGGGGCGCGCCAGCGGCGAGCCGGTCGCTCACCGCTCTCTCCAGCCGTTCCCGGGCGGAGAAGCCGCTCCACATGCAGTCACGGCGGATGATGGAGGCGTAATTCCTGCCCCAAGCTTTCGAGTGACCCCGGGATTCTACCTCGTCCCCAGCGCCCCCTCCGGGCCACGGCTCCGGGGAACCAATTCCAGGGACCAGGTCCCCGGCGCCGGGAACCAAGCCCCAGGGCGGCGACGTGGGGGGCGACGGCACCAGCTCGAATTTCTTCCAGATGTCCTCGCTGGGCGCCGTGGAGCGGTAGAAATCCTCCCCGCAGTCATAGTCGTAGAAATAGTGCTGGTACGAGTCGAAGTCCATGTCTGCTCCCTGCGGGAGCGAAGGGGGACATGCTGACTGGGGTGCAGGCCCAGGGAGGGGGGCGCCCCCGGGTCCCCCAGCACAGCCGGCTGCCAGGCTCTCGTCCCTCCCCAACCTCTCGGCTTGGAGCCCGCGCCCTGCCCTCGCGTCCCGAGAAGCCAGATCCTGGGTCAGCGTGCCCAGGGAAGCGGCTCACAGCGCGCAAACTGGGCTGCGGGGAGCGAGTTCAAAGCAAACTTTGCCAGCGCCGCCTGGAGCGCAGCTCCCAGGGCCCGGCCGGCCGAGCGGGGGCGCGCTGTGTCCAGAAGGCAGCCTGCAGCCCGCCCCCCGGACCCGCACCCGGCCCCTGGCCGCCCACAGCCTCACCTCGCTCCGGCCGCCCGCCACCTGGAGCGGACCGGCTCCCGGCCAGCTCGGGGCAGCCCGGTAGCCCGCACACACGCACATGCGCGCCACCGAGCGCGCGGCCCGCACCCAAGAGCGCGCCCTCCCACACGCGCGCTCCCTCCCTTGCTCGCGCACGGCGACCCGGACGCTCCCGGGATCGGCGCGGGAGCGCGAGATGCAGGCGCATTGTTTCCCGACTGCCTTATATCTCATCGCGCGCCCAGGGCTCCGGGATCGGGGGCGGGCCCTATGGGACAAGCCCCACCCCCGCCCCGCCCCCTCCCGGCCGCCGACAGGTGGGGGTGGTGGAGTCTCTGCCCCTCGCCTCCTGGCTGCTCTCTCCGGCTCTATTTTATTCCCTGTGCCCCCCAAAACGAATTGCACCCCGGGGAGCGCAGGGCAGGCGGCAAGCTGATGCAGCCTGGCAGTCGCCTGGTAGGGGCGTGACTCTAGCGAGTTCCGGGCCATCCCCAACAGGCCGAACTGACTCCGCGCTCTTTGCCCACTCTGAGCTGAGAAATAGGGCTACTCCCCGCCTCGTCCCGCGAGCCTACTTCCCCGGGCTCGCCCGGCTCAGTTCAGGTGCGTCGGGCCCGCGGGGCATCCGCACCTCCACCGCGCCACCTGGTGGCCCTCAGCCCTGAACTGGGGCCGGTCCCCGCCGTGCGCTTCCTCACCCGTTGACCCGTTTCTTGAGCTCGGCGTTCCAAACCTGGACCGCAGCGAAGCGAGGTGGTGAAGATTCCAGACTTTGGAGCCTGAAACTTAACCTTTCTGAGCCTCCGTTTCATCTACAAAACTAAGGGATGGTAATATCTCGCAGGATTATTGTGAGGATTTAAGAAGATAGTGTGCCAGGACGAGAGGCAAGAAGAACAGACTTAGCCCCTGGTGTGGATCATAAGGAGGAGAATTTTTCCCCAGGTCCAGGCCAGGGCTGGCCTCCCTCATACCACACACAAAACATTGTACTAGGAGAGGAAAGAGAATGAGGATTTGGAATCTGGCAACTTTCTCTGCTCTGCCAGCTGTGCTCTGCTACTTGCTAGCTGTGGGGCCAGGTCATCTGAAGCCTCTGTTTGCTTATCTGTAAAATGGGAACATTGCTTGCAGCTGCAACTCTGGCCAAGAGGATGAACATAGAAGCCCTTTGTGTCATCTTCTATGCAGACTACCTTTGGTGGAAGAGGAAAAGGTACACTAGACGGTCATTCTATTTAGACCAGGGACAGTAACTTGGATAGCAGCCAATACATCTAGAATGCTCTACTTGGCATTCAAGGTCTGGTCCCTGTCTGCAATCAGCAGCCTGACTGCCTGCTGTCTGTCTCTTTCTCTCGCACCCTGTGGTCTAAGAACACCAGAATACTCACTGTTGGCATCCCAAGGAGTGGGCAGAGACAAGTGCAAGCAGTTCAGTGTGCTTGGAGCGTGGGATGGAAGGTGTGAGTTGATATATGGGTTTAGAGGGGAAGATAACATCCTCAGTTTTGGATCTATTGGGTCTAAGGTGCATGCGGGACATCTCTGAAAGCAGCAACTAGCTCTTGCTAGCTTTGTAAGCTCAGTACCTAGAACAGCTTCTGGCAGATATTTGTGAACTTAATGAGTGACTCAGCCAACCAGACTTCATTGAGGAAGTCTGTGTGCCCTGCTCTGTGCTGAATGGAAGGCACAGATCAGGAAGGTTTCAGGTTTGCTCGCAGCCCAGAAGAGGGATTGGAACTGCCTTTTGGTGACTTGTTCTCTGGTGCACAGATGTCTGAGATAGTTGCTGTACCAGTCAATGTTCTAGGTTACAAATGAAAGAAACTAACACTAGATAAATTCAAGCAGAAAATCACTTTATTGGAAGGACTTGGGGTATACAATCCATGGGAGGCTGGGAATCTATGCTTGGAAAGTGGGTCTTCCTTCTCTGTATAGATGAGAGCCCTTACTCAGCAGCCCCTCCCATTGTTTACTGTAGTAGGTGATATCTGGGGCCAACCAGGAGGTGACCCCACCTGAAGAACTAGGATAGAGTAAATGAAGTTGTCTTCTGAGAGGCTGTTCCTTCACTTTCCACACTTTGTTTAATGTCTATCTTCCTCACCAGACTGCAAGCCTAACGAGGCTACAAATGTTAATCTTGTCGACCACTGTAACCTCAGAGCTTAGAACAGAGCCTGACGTGACACATCATGGGTGCTTCATACATGTGTTGCTTGACACAAGCCTCTAATGCTTTAAAGTAGAGATAGGCCAATCAACCTAGTGGAGACAGAATAACTGGCAGGCCCAGTCTAGACGATAATCTGAATAAAGTATTAATGCAGGAGAGTTGTTGATACAATCACCAGAGTGTCCATCCTAGTACTGTCTGGGGACAAAGATGCTGGTCCAGGAACAAGGGAGATGGAAGCGTCATTTTTTGAAACCACCCAATTTACCACGCCCCCCCCCACCCCCCACTTGTGCTCTGGATCACCAAGCAACCCACTGAAACCACTCTGTTCCCTGTGTAGATCCGCCCACAGGGAGAGAATGCACGCATCAGCCAACAAGAAGATTCAGTCTGCTCTGAAGCGCTGCTTCCCCTTATAAATTAATGAATTGCATCTGATTTGAAACATCAGTCTCATGAGCCTGGTTAACGTGTGTCTGTTCCATAGAGATGCTGCCGCTTTTAGGACTAACAGCTCTGGTTTCTGAGGTGATGTCTGGACCCAGGATGGTGATGAATTTACCAAGGTAACAAATGCTACCCTAGGGACATTCAATTTTTCTGCAATGTTTTATTTCCTTTGTTTCTTTTAAAACATTTTTAATCAAAATAATACAGGTACATAGTTTTTAAAAATCAATTCAGTGTATGATAAGGTTAAAAAAAAAGGCAGTCTTCTGCCCTGCCCTCCCCACCCCCCGTTTCCCACTCCCCAAAGGCAACGAGTCTTTCAGCTGTCTTTTGTCTCTAATATTTACTTCCGTATTTTGACCCATATAATCTATTTTTTCCTGATTTTTAAATTATGACATTCTACAATAAAAGAAGAAGACGTAGCTCTTATATTTCCCTTCCCACCCCCACATGCTTGGTCTTCCCTATTCTCCCAATAGAATTAAAGTTCAGTTTTTAAATAAATATTCAATATTTACAATATTTTGACTATCTAACTATGGAGTAATCTGACTACCTTTCCTTTCTTATACAATTTTTTCAGAGTTAAATTATTTCATTTTTTTTTCTTTGGCTTACATTTCTACGTACGTATTATGACTTTAACCCTATACATTCCCACCAGAGCTACAAAGATCATTTCGTATGGACAAACACATCAGGTAATCAATCCATCCGTTCCATTTTTTCTTGGAAACATCCCTTCTTGGAGCCCTTTGTCTTTCTGTTCCAATTTGAACATATTGATCTCTGGCCCACTTCACAGTGGTCACTCTGCGCCTTTCCTTCACCATCATCCTGGAATTTCCCTTTAGTTCTGTTGACTCCCCTGTTTTATGGAGCTCTTCGCTGCTGCTTTCTTGATTTACTCCCTCACCCTCACGTTGGTGGAGCACATTCTCCAGCAGCTGCCTGAGAAAGGGCGCTTGTGGAGTAAAATTTTTGAGACCTTGCATTTCTGAAATTGTCTTGATTATACTCTCACTATTGGTTGATTGTTCAGCTGGGTATAGAATACTGAATGAGAAATAAATCTCCCTCAGAAATTTAAAGGTATTGCTCTCCTCTTTCTTAGTAACCAGGTTGCTTTGGAGAAGATTGATATCGTTTGATCTACAAACCTTTTTACGTGACCTGTTTCTCTCTCTGGAAGCTTTTAGGATGTGCTCTTCGTCTCTGGCATTCTGAATTTTTGCAATGCTGTGTCTTGGTGTGGGTCTGTAGTTTAATCAAGAATTTGAGTGGCCCTTGTCTCTGGTCCCTGGGAGGTAGCCTATAATCCTTGGAATTTCCCAGTGATAGGACTCTCTTTGCTATTCATGGCGGTGCCTGATAGTTTATGCTAATGAGGTTAGTCATCGTGGGCCCCTAGATAGTTTAGGATGACTCAGGAAAGGGGTCGGCCAAGCAAAAAAGGACTGACTTTGTGACTAGAGGGTTGGGGCTTTGTACAATGTGGTATCAGCCTGACCTGTGGGAAGGCAGAGGGGGCTGGAGATTGAGTTCAGTCACGTGGACAATGATTCAGTGAGTCGTGCCTATGTAATGAAATCCCAATAAAAACTGGATCCTGCAGTTCAAGTGAATTTTCCTGGTTCACAATATTCTATGTGGGTTATACATCCTTGTGCTGGGAGGGTGATGCGATCTGACTCCACAGGAAGGGGACACTGGAAGCTTCACATTTAGGACCCTCCAAGGCCTTGCTTTGTGTGCCTCTTCTTTTCACTGGTCCTGATTTGTTTCCTTTTTGCTATAATAAATCTGTAACTGTAAGTATAGCGTTTTCCTGAGGTCTAAGAGTTGTTGTAGTGAATTATCAAACCTGAAGGGGTAGTGGGCACTCCCTGAATTTGTAGACAATTGGTCAGAAGCGTGGGTGACCTGGGAACCCCTGAGCTTGCAGCCGCTGAAGTGAGGACAGTCTCGTACTGCGCCCTTAGCCTGCAAGCTTGCCCGACTCTGGACAGTTAGTGTCAGAACTGCATTGCAGGATCTACTTGCATTCTTTGCCCTAAGCCTTTTAATCTGGGAACCTATTCACTCTGTAATTATATTTTTGAAAAAGTTCTCACCTCCATTTTTTTCTTCTCTCTTTCTGAAACTCCTGCTGGCCTTTTCTTACCTTTTCTTTCATTTCTGCCTCTGCGTGTTTTGTTTGACTTTCTGAGAGAGCCCCTCAATTTCCACTCCTTTTATTGATTTAAATGTTTATTTCTTTTTGTTCTGCTTTTTCTCCCCAAATCCCCCCAGTACATAGTTGTATATTTTTTCAGTTGTGGGTCCTTCTAGTTGTGGCATGTGGGATGCCGCCTCAGCATGGCCTTGTGAGCGGTGCCATGTCCATGCCCAGGATCCGAACCGGAGAAACCCTGGACCACTGAAGAGGAGTGAGCAAACTTAACCACTTGGCCATGGGGCTGGCCCCTAAATGTCTTTTTTTTTACTATCATATTTTTAATTTTTTTTTTTTTCTGGGAGAGACTCACCCTAAGCTAACATCTATTGCCAATCTTCCTCTCTCTTTTTTTTCCCTCCC